TTCTTTGACTCTTAATGTTGACATGAGCCCCTCTGCAGACTCCTGTTGATGCAAGTCCTGAAACATCAGAAGGATTTTACTCATATCATGGTCCCCCACCCCTTCCCACACCAAGAAACAACTAGTATGAATCCTGAGTTTGTTTTCTTTGACTTTAAAAACATTTGATTGGGCCAGACGTGGTAACACACGCCTTTAATCCGAGCACTCCAGAGGCAGAGAAGGCAAATCTCTTTGAGTTCAAGGCCAGCCTGGTCTACATAACAAATTCGAGACCAGCTGAGACTGTTTCTTAAAAAAACCAAAAAAACTTTTTTTGTTTGCATATATAATTACATTAAATATCAGTTTTGTTGGTGGATATTTAGTTTTTAATTTTTTATCAGTTTTGAAAATAGACACTACTTCTAAGAGCAAACATATATATCTTCTGATGCACATGTGAAAGAGTTTTCCTAGGGAATAGACTCAGAAATTGAATTACTATATGACAGAGTTAAGTCAATGTTAATCATGTGAAATTATTTTGCAAAGTGTTAATACCCGTTTATATTGTTTTCAGCAGTACATATAAGAGCCATATGAACAATATCTTTTATGGCACTTGAAATTAGAAAAAATAATCATTTTTTTCTAATCCGTGGTTGTAAAATACAATATTCTTCCTTGGGTTATTATTTTTTTTCTTTTACTTAAGTTTTTGAATCAAATTACTAAGTGTTATAAAATATGCTAGGGTTTTACTGAAGCTGCAGACCAGCTCAAAGACAGTTGACATCTTTATAATAGGATATTATAGAAAATACTGGTAAAACACACATATGAAAACAATGAAGAACTTTAGTGTGTAGCGTTTACCACTTTCTGTGCATTATCTTCCCACCAAGTCCACTTTAAACTACAAGATGAAACCACTGTAACTGAAATTAGGAAGAAATGCATACAGAAGTTCTTACAGATTAGCATGAGATGGCTAGTTTCATGACCTACTGCACACACACAGACACACACTTTTTAGATGTAGGTTCTGCATGAGAGAAAATACAGTGTTTGTCTTTCTGAGCCTGACTTATTTTGCATAACATAATGGTTTCCAGTTGTATCCATTTTCCTGCAAAAATCCCGATTTCATTTTCTTTATGGCTGCATAGAATCCATTGTGTGCTTGTACTGCATTTTCGCTATCCCTTTATTTGTTGATAGTATCTAGACTGGTTCCATTTCCTGTTTATTGTGAATAGTGTAGCTATAAACATGTTTGTGTATGTCTCTCTGTGGTATGTTGACTTAGAGTCCTTTGGGCATATACCCAAGAGTGTGATGTAGCCGGGTCACATGGTTGTTCTGTCTTCAGTGTTTTGAGGAAGTTCCATATTGATTTTCATAGTGGTAGCATAAGTCTACATTGAATAAGGGTTCCATTTTCCCTGTACCCTCACAAGCATGTGTTGTCATTTGATTTCTTGATAGCCATCCTGATGGGGATGAAATGGAATATCAAAGTAGTTTTAATTTGTATTTCCATGATTACTATGGATGTAGAGCACTTTAAAAATATTTATTGGTTCTGTAATATAATTTGAGATTGAGTATTGTGAGACCTCCAGTATGCTATAGAGTGTTTTTTCTCTGGTTATGTATATTTTGGGTTTTAAATGCCTCTTGTGTCTGAGTGTCTGTTTCTTTCTGTATATTTTGGGGAAATTTCTGCTATTTGTGTTTTATGGCACATGTGGAATCCCTGAGGATTGAACTCAGATTGTTAGGCTTGGCAACAAATGCCTTTACCCACAGAACCATCTCTTGAAGGCTCTTTTACTATGTTTTTAATTTGATAAGTTTTTCATTTCTAGCATTTGTTCTTGTTCAAAATCTCAATTAGCTTTGGTGAATATTTTTTCTATGTTGCTGACTTTTTTTTCTTTTGTCTATGTTGTTGATTTCCTCATCTGTTTCGTGAACTTTTCCTTCTCTGTTATTTATTTTCTTTGCTAACTTCTGGCTTGAACTCATGTACTTGTTTGCATCCTTTTTCATATCCTTACCAGAAAACTTTTGAAGTCTTTACCTGGCCTTTTAAAAACTATTTTAGTATCTTTGAGTTTAGAGGTTAAAGAGTTATAGTTTATTGAAGGAGTAATGTTGCCCCATGCCTCCCCGCCACCGTGTGTGTGCATGTGTGTGTGTGTGTGTGTGTGTTTGTATGTGTCTATGTTATACATATGTGTGCATGTGTATGTCGGTGCACTTAGCCATGCATGTATATGGAGGCCAGCAGAGATAATGGGTGTCCTCTTCTGTTGCCATCCTCCACTTAATTGTCAAGTTGAGAGAATCTAGAATCACCTGGGAGATGGGCCTCTGGACATGCCTGTGCAAGGTTATCTTAATTTCATCAATTGAAGTGGGAAGACCTCTGGACTATGGATGGCTTCATTCCCTGGCTGGGATCCTGAACTATATAAAAAGAGAAATAGGCTGTGCATATAACATTCATCCCTCTGTGCTTCCTGGTTGTGAATGTAATGTAACTAGCTCCTTCAAGCTCTTGCCACCTTGACTTTCATGCCCTGATGGATTGTACCCTTTGAACTGAGTCAGAATAAATCCTTTCTTCCTTTAGTTGATTTTGTCAGAGTATTTTGTCACATAAGTAGGAAAAGAAACCAAGACACAGGTCTGTCACTTAACTTGGAGATTCTAGCTGGCCAGCAAGCCCCCAAGATTGGCCTGTCTCTGCTCTCCAGCCTTGAAGTTACAGACATAGCTGTCTGCATGGCTTTTATGTGGGTCCTTGAGACCTGAACTCAGGTTCTCATGTTGGTGCAGATCAAGCACTTTACCTGAGCCATCTCTCCAGCCCCTTGCTCTGCCTTCTCATTTTGTGTGTGTGTGTGTGCGTTTCTATGTTATACTTTGCACATCTATTAATCTATATCTTCTGAATGTTTTTTTGGTGGGGGGAGTCTTCTTTTTGATCAGTCTACTCTTGAAGACTCAGTGTCTAGTAGGACATAGACAAACTGCTTTAAATTTTTTTTCTTAGAATATTTATTTAGAGAGAGTGTGTACACATGTGTACTTGTCAGTTCTCTCCCTTTACCCTGTGGATCCTGAGGATCAAAGTCAGGTCCTCAGGCTTGACAGCAAGGACTTTTCCCTGCTGAACCATCACTTCAACCCCAAGCTGCTTTTGTGAATTTCTGCTGTTCCCCCCTCCAGCCAGGGAGATCCTCTGCTGATGCTCTTGGATGCTCTTGGCTTTCTTCTCTGAGTCCACTGTCTGCTTTTTTTTTTTACCTCCCCCCCCTTGCTATTTTCCATTATCCTCTTACTTCTTTTGTGGATTTCCAAAGTGTTTTCTCTGTTTCTTTCCTTATACTAACACCTGTTTTCCCTTGGTCTGTTTCTTTATTCTATTGGCTCTCCCAGAAGCACTATAATTCTCCATCTTATCCAGAAATGAAATTAATTTTTGATAACTGACACTTAGATAAAAGCTTAGACTTGACAAATATAAATTTATAAACAAAAGTATTCCTTTCCAGGTAAAATGCTGGAAAATGTAGAAGATTTCAGTTTGGAGACTCACTGAGGAAATACAGCATAAATGTTTGGGGTGGGAGAGATGGCTCAGTGCTTAACAGCATGTAGTGCTTTTGCAGAGGACTTGGGTTTGGTTCCCAGCATGCACATGGTGGCTCATGATAGTCTGTAACTCCATTTCCAATGGGATCTGATACCTCTGGCCTCTATAGGCACCTGAACTCACATGCACATACCCCAACACAGATATAGACACACACTTATAATTAATTTATAAAAGTATAATGTTTGCCAGTTATTTTAAATTTCTCTTTTTAAAATATGACTTAATTTGATATGCATAGAAATATTTTACTTGAGACCAGGCGTGGTAGCACATGCTTTTAATCCCAGCACCTGGGAGGCAGAGGCAGGTAGATCTCTATGAGTTTGCGCCCAGCCTGGTCTACATGCCAGTCCAGCTGTGTCTACAGGGAGACCCTGTCTCAAAAAAATTAGAAAGAAAGATTTTACTTGAAAAATGATGTATTTTAAACGTAGCTTTCCTTCTAAACTGTGATAACTGCTTAAAGATATATTATATGGAAACAATAATTTTTGTTAAATTTGTTTTTCCTACAATTGAACAGATTTGACTGTCATTTCCCAATTTTATCATCAGCATTTTATTATAAAAAACTTAATTTTATGACTAGTTACTTTATTGATTTATTTATTTTTTACTTTGATTAATATTTGGCAGGAGAGAACATTTCTTCTCCTTCCTGCCAACACATACAGTGTAGCATTAGATTTAATATCATTTTAAAAAGGAAATGTGGGAATAAGTATAACACACTCCTGGAATACTTTGCAGCATTGCATTCTTCTTCAGACCAGAAGAGGGGGCACTGTAAAGTTGATGCCTTTGAACAGGAAACATTCCTTTGAACTGCTGCCTATAGTCAAGGTGTTTGACTCCTGAATGTCTCTTTGTGTGCAAGAGGAGGGAAGAAAGCAGGATTTACGTGAACCATTTAGAGCACTTTATATCAAAAGCATGATTTAATACACCTGTTAAACAGTTCCTTCTGTCCAGAAATAATTTGCCTTGTTACTATCTGAGAATAGGATATCTTTTTAGAATTGTTCTTCACCAGACTCTTGAAATTTTATCACCGTGTACCAAAAGTGTATTTCCAGTCTTGACCTTACTTGAAGTTATCTTTTTTATTTGTTTGTTTTGTTCCAGCTGGCCTGGAACTTGCTATGTAGACAAGGCTAGCCTCCAACTCACAGAGATCCACCTGCTTCTGTCTCCCAAGTGTTGGAATTAGAGGAATGTGCTATCAAGGCCAGCTTACTTGAAATTATCTTTATAAATCATAATATATAACCACTAAAGAAAATATAACCCCTATAAATGAAAACACAGCCATGACTAAAACGTGACTTTTATTCTTTTGTTTTGACAGCTTGAAGGTCCATGTGTTTTGCAAATTCAAAAAATTCGCAATGTTGCTGCACCAAAGGATAATGAGGAATCTCAGGCTGCACCAAGGATGCTGCGTTTGCAGATGACTGATGGTCATACAAGTTGTACAGCAGTAGAGTTTAGCTACATTTCAAAGATAAGGTAATTAGTACTTCATGTAACTTGCTAAAGAGAATTTTAAAATGCTATTCAAACCTAATTTTATTGTAAGAATTTCTGAAAAAATGGAATGTACTCTTAAATCCATGTAATTTTCACAAGACATTACGGAGCTTTTAATTTGTTTTACCTGTCTAGAAAATAGTTAAGTATAAAGTTAGTTGTTCTTTATTCTATGCTAGCCATAAAAAAAATTTAAGATGTTCTTGTACCTAAGATGAATCTTTTCATATATTTTTAAAATATTTTATTATTTTTATTTTATGTGTATGTGTGTATTGCCTGTTTGTATGTAAGTGCATCTGTGTCGTGCAATGCCTGTGGAGGATGGAAGAGGCTGTCGGATCCCTTAGAACTGGAGTTACAGACAGTTGTTAGCTACCGTGTGGGTCCTGGGATTCGAACCTGAGTCATTTGCAAGAACAGCCAGTGTTCCTAACTGCTGAGCCATCTCTCCAGTCCCTAATCTTTTCATTTTTTTTTTTTGATTTTCATTTTTTTTAATTAGAAGAAGCATTTCATTACAATGACATATTCAATAACAATTTCTATTTCCAGAGCTAAGATGCATCTCTTTCCAAACTGGCTGTAAAATTTTAGGTTTACAGTTGAATTAATACAGTTATACACTATTGTACTAAGTATAAACCCTTAAGACATAAAATTGAATGATGTTTTAACTTTTAAAAGAGATCTCCATTTCATTATTATCATTATTAAAATACACAGTTTCATACAGAAAAATTCATTTTTAATGCAATTGACATTAAGATGTTTGCACATGCATTTCCAATCTCTATATATCTGATTATTTCTAGTCACAGTTGGTTATTTTCTGAGCTCCTTGGCATCTGAGCATGGATATAAAGTCATCAGGTAGATTTCAATGGTAATGTTTTTCCACATCTGATTATTTAAGGAGCAAATTTTATGCTTCGAAGAATTGTTATTATTATTTATTTTTATTTATTTATACACCCACTTCCCAGGTAGCACCATCCCATAGCCTCCCTCCCCCCACTAGAGCCCTTATACTCTGATATCCCTGCTACTGTCTGCTGTGTTGTCAGCACCCCCAGCCATTCCCCACTACTTCCCTTCTGGTGAGTCTAGTCAGCCTATCTAGAGGTCTTTGTTTTAGGAGGGTCAGCTGTTCCTCATCTAGCAGTAATCAGTTTTCAATATTCCTTTAGATAAGATTGGAGTCTGCTGTTCAATTTCCCAGTTCTATGCTGGGTTACTATCTGGGAATCCCTTTGGCCACCCTGGCCAACAACTCAAAAGAAGGTATCGCCTGTCTGGCATTGTTGCTTGTTATGTAGCCTTTAGCTATACATGTGGACTCTTATGAAATTATATTGGCCCCTTTAGTCTTTGGTTATACTTTCCTTTTGGGTGTTTAAGGCCATACAGTTGGTCCAGATAAACCGATTTATTTTTACTCTTAAGGTCATTTGAGGATCTGTTCCTCAGGGATCACATGGGCTTGGGAGGAGCCCCTGGCTCATTTCTTTTACCAGTTCCGCCGATGTGAAGATAAGTCAAAGGTCCTGCTCGACCATGGTTGGCTTCGCTTGGAAGCATGGAGGACATGATTCCTTTGTGTTGACCTTCCTCTTTATAGACTGGACACTGGTTCAAGTCCATCTGGTGGGGTCTCCTCGGCCTCCTTGACAAGAGGATAGGTGACCCACCACCATTACAGGACATTTGGAGAGATGCTCATAGTCCCCTGGAACTAGTCGACCTAGGAGGGCAAGGAGCAAAAA